TTGTTTTCTTTTTTGTTTTTTCTTTGCCCATTCCCTTGGGCGGGAAATTGGTGCACCATCTTAAGGGGGAATACTATGCAGCAGCTATCCTTCTTTAATATAGTAAATAGATTTGTATATATATATATAGATGAAATTGGGTACATATGAAAGTGTACATATATATGCAGTGGCGGATCTAGGATATTAAGTCAACTAGGACAGTCGTTGATAATTGTAATAATAAGATTGTTTATTATTATTATTTAATTAAATAATGTTAAAAAAATTTCAGTCAATATATAAATGCACTAAAAAGTAAAAAAGTTATATACAGTTGAAAACATAATCTTATACTACCTAAAATAATAAGGAAAAAAATACATTTATTCAATCATATATGTACGATCAAGATTCAAGTTTTTTACGAATTCAAACGAAACAGTTTATACGTAAAGCATGATTAAATGGTAAAGACAAGCTCCGAGTTTAAACGAAAGTTATGCAAAATTTTTAGTGTTCAATGATTTTTAGAATGGGTTAAATTCACTAGTGGCCACCCAATTTGATTTTGTTTCATCATGGCCACTCAATTTTATACTTAGTGTCACCATGATCACTCAATTTGATTTTATTTCACCAAAGTCATCCAATTTCATATAACGTTTCACTATAGGCACCCAATTCCATATAACATTTCATCATAGCCACTCAACTTCTTTTTACTATTTTCATTAATTTTAAATAGTGTAAAACGGTAACTTTGCATTATATATAAAATAAATTTTAAAAAAATTTAAAATAAAAACTTATTTTTTAAAAAAAAAAGTTACTTAGAAAAATAAAATAAAATAAAAAGTTATTTTAAAAAAATGTGCTTTAAAAAAGTAAAATGAAATAAAAATTTATTTTAAAATAAACGTTTTAAGTTTTTTTTTAATGAGTTTTCTTTTAATTTTTTAATTTTTTTTATATATATAATGCAAAGTTACCGTTTTACCCCTTTTAACATTAATGAAAATGGTAAAACGAAGTTGAGTGATCAAAATGAAATGTTATATGAAATTGGGTAGTCATAGATAAACATTATATGAAATTGGATGACCTTTGTGAAATAAAATCAAATTGAGTGGTTATTGTGATACTAAATATAAAGTTCAGTGGCCATGGTGAAGCAAAATCAAATTTGGTGGACATAGTGACACAAAGTATAAAGTTGGATAGCCACCAGTGAATTTAACCTTTTTTAGAACTAAAACAATTTTTGACCAAAAAAGAAAAAGTATTTTTCGAACTTTTAAAAGAATAAAGAACAACAACACTTAGATTGTCCAAATTTGAATTTTATAAAATAAGTTAATAAAATCTAACAATAAAAAAAATATATCATAGAATAATAATTTGAGTCAATAAATTTTTTAAAGAAATTATTTCGAAAATGAAAACTAATAATATATAATCATTTAGTTATTTTTTATTGTATTGAAAAATTAAACAAAAAAGTAGAAAAACGTATATCAAACCCCATTTATCTAATGCACAAGACAATCAGTCAGGTATTTAATAGCTTCCTTATCAGTTGTCACCTCTCCGTAAGCGTTATGTGCTACCTACACAATTAGACGTCGTTAACATGAAAATGTTGTCGTCGAAAGAGATAATTCAACACCAATTTGAACTTCGATGATCAAATTATCTTATTATAAGGGTTCAAATTTTAAAAGATTGCCATTCTTACTCAGTACTACGTATATCCATTGATCATAACACCTATATGATATATCCAACTATGCTTAATCAAGCACCAGTGCATCAATTTTGTGCTCGTCTATGGTGATAACTGCAACTCTAGCTTTCTTCTCGAACAAGAAACGGAGTACTAAAGAGTCGAGGCAGATCCAAAATGCGGACACCCCAACACCAATGGCGTCTCCAGGATCGCAGTCGTGGACTTACGATGCTGATAGAGAGTTAGAAGGCCTTCAACATCTCCCGAGTTGCCACAGTACACCCAGTGACGGACCCAAGATTTTGAGTCAGCACGGGCAGT